TGTGTGTGTGTGTGTGTGTGTGTGTGTGTGTGTGTGTGTGTGTGTGTGTGTGTGTGTGTGTGTGTAGAGAGGAGAGAGAGAGAGAGAGAAGGAGAGAGAGATGAGACAGAATACACACCTAACACACACACAGTATATTGGATTAAACATCATTTTATGTATGGTCATCACAATAAGACAGGGACAGTATTTGTTGCGCTGGATTGGAGTGAAGTGGATGCAGTAAAAAAAAAAAAAACCAAACCCAACAACACCACCCTTCCTCAGACGCTTTCTTATAAGATGTTACCATGGCTACAACGTAAAAGTATATAGGAAGTGAAATGCAGTTTGCTTATGTGAGGAGAGTCAGCACTGTAACGTTCTACTCGTTGTTTGGTTACTTCCTGATTCTGCATAAAAGCAGATCAAGTCCAGAAAGAGACCAAAGCACATTCAGTGAACGACCTCCGCTCTGCAGAGCACCTACAGAGGAGCAATGCACTACATGGCAGGACTGTAAGGAGAAAGACTGTGGTCGAAGAAGACTGTAAGGAATGTGTGTGAAACTGAGACTACCTGCTGCTTTTCCATGGCAGGAGATGGCCTCTTCATACTTCCCAGCAGCTACCAAACGGTCGGCCTGTCTGCACTGCTGGTGAGCCTGAAGAACGTAAGACAGGGAATGCAATGTGTTACGAGAATGTTAAAGAGGTGGTGGAATGAAACCAGGGATAATATATGAAGCAAAGATACTAAACAGAGACTAGCTTCCCCTCTTTACTGTAAGAAAACTTCTTGTCATACGTGAACATTAATGCTATGAAAATGAGACTGATGATCCTTTAGAATCTGAAGACTTTAAGTCTTTAGATCCGATAAATTGGATTTTATGTGATTTACTGTGTTTTTTGTTCTTGACATGTTACACTAGCTGGTAGTTCTACTGTAATCCTGGATGACCGAGTTTCAGAGCTGTAGCTAAGTTAGGAGGAAATATTAAGATCAAATGGAGAAGGGTTTCATGTGTCGCAGACATGCTCCTGATCAATCATCTAAAACCCTGACTGTGCATTGCTGACATGGATGGCCTATGTGTCTGCTAAATGCTGACAAGCGGGCCAGAATCAGCATCCAGCTGACGTCAGAAGGTGCCGTTTTCATCTGGAATGCCTCCTCAACCAATTTATACTTGGAAACTCGGAGAAGCCACAACAACCTTAAGTTAACAAACCAAGATCCTGACAATGAAGGTAAAGATTTTAATCTGTAATCCCACTATTGTATTTATGACTCACTACATAAACCATACGAAGGAAACTGACCAGGCTCTGTCCACTGCTTCAGTATCCTGATATATATCCTTTGTGTACATACAGCACCTACATCTCCTGATGATTTGTGCCCCACGAGTAAATTTGACCTGGGTGTAGGGATGGGTATCGAAAACCGGTTCTTGTTGAGAACCGGTTCCCACTGTTTCAATTCCTTGGAAT